ATACAAATGAATCAATACTATCAAAACTTTGGGACAGGTATTTAGAGAAACTCCACTGAACAACGTGAGACTGACAGAAAACACGTTAAAATATGCTAACCAACCTTTAATGGTGTTGCTTCTTTAGCCTATTCAAAGCAGATTATGGCAGTCCAGTTGGCAACCCAGAGTTTGTGGGTAAAAAATGGAGCACATGAAATTGTTGATATCACCTCACTTTTCAGGGTTCTCCACGGAGAAAATTCGTTTGATTAGGGGATGTCTCAAATCAAAGAAATAAAATTGACCCAACTTAAATTACTAAACATAGGTTATCAGTAAGGCAACAGTTTTCGCCAATTCTCAAAGCTGGAAAAACTTTGTTGCAACATGTTAACTCAAATTAAAGCAGATCATTTAGCATTCATTAAAAGTTATCAATTAAAACTGAGAGCAGAAATAACGCTGGTGAACCTTGACGACACATATTTAAAATTAGTCTCCAACAAGTGTTTAAACAACTCTAAGATGTAGCTACAATTACTCGAATTTAAGCATAACGTTTTCCTCGGCGTTATGTTTCATACTATGCGGCTCATTGAGCCGCACGGGTTCTCTAGTATTGTTTAAATTAAGAAAATAGATAAGACTATACATTTAATTATAAACAAAATAATACAGCTTCTTCTTCTTCTTCTTCTTCTCTTTTTATAAATAAATATCAAGTAAATTAAGGCTTAAAATTTAATTTATATAAGGCATTATCTAACTTGTACTAAACATATCACTAAAAAATGGAACATGGCATTACATCCCCAAAAAAAGTTGACATGATGTTAGTAACAATATACAAAGAAAGGCTCTGCCCAAAACATCTCACAGCATAGTGTCATATATTGTAATTCCATACCATCAACAATACCGCATTGCATAACAAAGTGTGGCAGTCGTAATACTTGTAGGTCGCATAACAGAGTTAGGAAGCCTTACAGAATGCATATATACAAGTTGCTGTGAGGGTAGAGTCAGTCTGATGCTGAACCGAGGCAAAGCACTGATATCCCGCAGAGACGGGGACTGGCTGACAACTAGAGTAGACAAGTGGGTTGCTCAGTGTCAAGGATACTCCAGACTGAGGAGTAGATTGTTGTCCAGAGGTTGTCAAACCATGATGGACCGTCCATCACCTCACCGTCGCTGGAGCCGATCCGACTCTGAACTGCTCAACGATTTGATCCCAGTGAACAACGAGACTCCCGAAAATGTCAACATCTCGTCATTGAGTCTGCATGAAGAAAACGTCGAGTGTGACATGACTACAGGCGAGAAACAGCTACAATACGACCAAGACATCGCTGACTACATCGCCTACTTGAACAGACCGATCATCAACATGAACGACCATTACATCGAGATCCACCAGTACCACTACGAGCCCAGTCACTTCACACAGCACGTGCCGATCCGCCCTCCCACCAGGAGGAAGAAGCACAAAATCGATTTGAAAAAAACTGAAATAGTTTGCACAGGAATTAGCCCAGTGAAGACACCCGAGTACAGTGAGTTTCTTGTGAAGAGGAAAGACGAAAATAGGAACATCATTGTTAGATCGAACAATGAGGAGAACAGAGATCCTGAACCATTGGATCGCCACAGACCTTTGACACAAAAAGAGAAGATGGAGAAGAAAATAGACATGATTATCAACAAAGAAGGCCATGTGAAGGTGAAGAGGGGAGAGACGTTTTCTACAACTCTGCATACAAACTCTATCGCTCCAGATGCCCATAGGACCTTCCTCAGCTTCCGGACTGCCAAGAAGAACAAGAGTGGGCGTAGAAAGAGGAAGATTGTGGTGGGGGAAGCCGGTGTTGAGGGTCCGATCTGGCCAGGCGTACTTCTCACCTTCGACAGATCCATCTCCCCAGGTCCACCTGAGAATCCAGAAGAGTCAGAAGTGTGAACTGTGTACAAGTGTTGTGTGAATCTAACATGTAAGTAACACATTTACTAGCTTTCCATAATGAAAAAGAGGAGACGATTTGTTTGGTCTTTGATGAAATGACTAAACTGCAAATAATATGTTAAATGTCCCTACAAGAAGTAAGAACTGATTATTAATAGAATAATTAATTTTTTGTTCAATCATAAACAATTTTTGGTTTTAGAGAATGATGAAAAATTAGTAAAAAACGTTTTTCTTTAATTAATTAATATCCAAAGCTTAACAAAGTATATGGATGAGTTTTCAATATGATAACATTTAATCACTTTTCAAAGATAAGTCTATCTACAATATTTCAAATTTCATTATTAAGTAAATATTCTAACACTTTATGCCCCAAGTTTCCACTGCACAAAAATATTATACTTGTAATATAAACAAGAAAACTTGGAAGAGTAATAACTTCATTTAAAAAAATGAGTTTTTTATTATTAAATAATTTTAAAAATGTGGTAGTTTTTTAATGTGTTGAAGTAGTTATGAAAGCTTTTTTGAAAAAAAGCCTTTATTTTGTATTAATTCCCTTTTTTGTACTTCACAATTTGTTATATGAAAAGTTGTTCCGGTTATTAATGTCCATAATTGTGAACTTATGTACAGTACATGTCTAATATAATAAAAGAACTATTTTACAAAGTTACAATGCATATTTATTTATAATTCCCATCCAATATCCTCAAATTTAAGAACTGTTAATAAATATTTTTTTATAACTTGATGACATTTTATTAGTTTGTTTTGTGTTTTAAATTAATCTTGACAAGAATGGCTCTGTCATAGATCAAGTGAGAACCCTTTATAAGGTTAAGTTATTGTTGAGGACTATGCATGTGAACTGATCAATACATTACAAATGATTTAATCAATCAATCACACAATGGTATGTATTTCACTAAGGTTCAAAGAAGATTGAGAAATCAATCCCTTCTCAATAATTGTGTGTGAAACATTTGTTTATAATATCTGTATAAGCATAGGTGGTGATCATCCAATACATAATATCTCATAATATAAATCTATATGTTTAATTCCGTAAGGGAATCGGTTCCCACAAAATATCTAGAGCTAGGAAAAAGGTAGCATGGTTGATGAGGATTTATATTAAAGCTCCAATGACGGTGGGAAAAATATCAGAAGTGTCAAAAATTACCCCTGCTCTGCCCCACAGGCCGTCAAAGATCCACTCATTTTCTAATGGAAGTACTGCTACAGTGTTTCTATAAGCTGTGTAAATATACCAGCTGATATAAAAATTGTGTATTTGTTTGTTTATTGATTTTAGTGTTCTGTTTTTAGGTTAGAATTGTAATGCAGTGTTGAAATAATGGAGCACAGCATAGGGAATAGTTAAGGATAGGGAGGAAAAATCATATTTTTTTAGGGTGATTTTTACCATTTACTACCTGTTGTTCCTACCAAAAAAGTTCAAATAATTTAACGTAGCATGTACGTACATAGCAGTATAAAAAATGGATTATACATTCATAACAGTAAAATCTGGAGGTAGATTCCGTTTCTTTACGTTTCTTAAACTAGATAACTAAAATGTGCGTATCAATGACAATGAAAAGAAATTTGGTGATTCGCTTTGACATCTGGGGAACAGAACCCTATCCAGTGTAATTGGACATGGTTTGTGCAACTTATTGTGGTTTAGCACATACATTTTGTTGTACATTCTGGACTATAAACAACATTTAGAATTAATTATTTTATTATTTAAATCATTCCAAACAGACTTGGGTCAAATTTTATTGAAGCATGTTTTCAATTATCTGTATGTTAAATAAGAATAACATGCAGATAATTGAAACACACATTTGCATGAGATAAATCATTAATATATTTTTCATCTTCAACATACAAGTAAAAATACAATGTTACATAAGTTAAGGGTCATAATTAGTACCTAATAAAAACATGCAAAAAGGATAGAGAAACGAAATTAAATTGAGTTATCAACAGTATAGTTTAATTTGTCTATCAATAAATATTACAGTAGAACCTTGATATTTCGACACTTTGTGGACTTTATTTAAGGGATGTCCAACTATCGAAATGTCAAACTATATAGGGAGTAAATGGAGTTTAATATACAGGAAAGTAAAAACACGAGTCTTGTGCTATCAGGTAACATTCATATGATGGATCTGCAAGATTAACTAAAATTGAGATTGGAGATTAATCTGATAGCTCTTTTTGTGTAGTTAGAGAAGAGGAGGTCTTTAGATTAAAGGTTGCCATTGCCCCATTTGAGCATACAGTATGCGAGAAAAGTGAACAATGTCATAATACTGTCAGAAGGACTAGTCTGTCTTGATAACAGGAGAGCCTTTGGAAAAGAATATTACTAGAGCTAAGTCTATTGTACAATTTTGTCAATGTGTCTAGAAAATGTTTGTTTGTTGTCAATGACAACTCCTAAATAAGCTACACAAAAGATGGAGCAATGCTGATGACATCGATATGTAAATTCGGAGAAGATGCATTGGAGGAATTATGCCTTAATCAAAAGTCTAAAGTTGATGCTTTCTAAATGATGTAAATGTGTAATGTGTAAATGTGTTATGTAAATCTAAATTTACATACCTATAAAATATTCTCAGAAAGTCAAAGGAAAACAAAATTGCTCCTAGTAAATGTTTAGATCTCTATCCGTGCATGATTTTAACTGGACAAATATATTGTTTTATCACAAATTGTCTTACTAACACCACCTATAATCCTCAAACAGATGTAATCTTCAATAACTTTTAAAACAACCAACTGAATTCAATTCTACAAATTCAATTTTCCTAAATTTTAAATAATTACTCCAGGGAAATAACTATGGCAAAGTTCAAAGAGGAAAGATGAAAAAGTGATAAAGCGTGATTATTCTGAGCGTAAACAGCAGCTGTTTGTGGGACGTGGGCTGATTGGAGAGTCCCAAGGGGAGGATTTGACAGACATCAACCTCCTTGCTGAGCACAACAATGGGGGATAAAACTGGCGATGAGATGAGGTTCATCCCAGTCATCCACAGCCACTTGGCAGGTAAGCATCCACCATCCACCATCGCCATCGTAATCCAACTAAGCTTTTTAATTCAATTACATTTATTAGGTACATAATGTTAATGAGTTCACCTGATGCTCAAAATCTTAGATCAGGAATATTTCGTACTGCATGATTAAAAATAATACTTTTATATTACCGATTTACAGGTATTCATAAAATTGAGAGCTAGGATTTACCAACCCCATCTTACTTTTCAATTTCAACAGACACCAAGATTTGCTAAACTTTATTCAACAAAACCAAAACTAATGTCGTAGGAGTTCCTTGGTACAAAAGAAATACCTATAAGGTATTATAAATGATGTAATGTAATGTGTGTGACAAATTGCATGTTAATCTCTTTTCAATCCCAACAGCTGATTGTCCTATACTCTGAAATTTATCTAATCATGACTATAGATCGGCCGATTAGAAAGCGACCTCCTCTAGCATTGGTTTAGCATTAGCGTGCAGGTCGTTTTCTAAGCGGCCGAAATATAGTGTTGTATTGATAGTCAAAGCTAAAGGGTGTCCCAATAAGAACGCCGGATTTGAAATATTAACAAACCATATATTTTCTCGCTAAATTTACAATATGAAACATGAATCTTAAAGCATAATATCTCCGATTAGTAATTGAGTATTATGTCTTGTAAGTGCCAACCTGCTGAATACTGACAAGCTCGACATCTCTTGACGAAGTTTTCCATCACTTTTTCACACACTTCCTGTTGAATTCCATTAATGGCACGAATCGTTTCCTCCTTCAAGTCTTGGATTGTTTGAGGGTTATTGGCGGAAACAAGCTACTTTAAATATCCCCAGTATAGAACTGAGCCAATTTATTCGAACTTATAAACCAATCTTCGGACAGATAGCTCATTTGGTTCATTGTCCCCGCCGAAAGTAGCGCGCAGCTTCCGTGCTTGTAGTGCACTTTATCTATGACCACGCGTTGATCCGTCGTGTAGCGATTTATGACTACAAATGGGACCTAATACTGATAACATCGCTGATAATTTGGGAATTCCTATTGAAATACCAAAAAGGATAAGACGCTCCTCAAATCCGGCGTTCTTACTGGGACACCCTTTATATAGTAGGGAATAATTTTACTTACTATTTAATAGATTTTGGAATTGATGGATTAGAAGTAAACTGAGAATATTGTTTGTGCCTATAAATCTATGACAAGTTCTAGAAAATGTAGTGTTAAATATTTATTTTCCTAATTCATTATTTTGTGATTTTTTATCATGGAATGAATCATATTTGAATGTGATACAAAATTTATTTAAATTAAATGTTTAAACCAGTCATAAGAATGGTATTTAAATTCCAGCTTATTAGAAACTAGTTCCAATAAAAATTTATTGCAAAAGTTATAAAATTTGTTATAAGGAATTTATTCAGAATGTAAGTTAACTTAGATAAATAATCTGAAAACCCAACATACGTTTGATTTGATACTGCCATACAAAACATAGTACATTTCCTAAAAAAAAAATGTGACTCACTTTGACAAAATTTTCTGTGTAATTCAATTTAAGTGGATTGTTAACCTTTGAATTTTTTGGGAAAATTAGGCATTAAAACATGATAATCATTAATCATTAAATAATATAAATTTTTAGCGAATTTCTCATAGAGGGAATAAGCTATTATTGAGTATACGTAGTGATAGTACTCATGGTAAGACCTGGACCCGGGACCGATTTACTTTTTCTGTTTTGAGGTCCCTAGAGGCCAAAAACCCCATCCGTTCAAATTCATATATATTTATATACGAACAGGGGTTTACAAAGGTTTTATGGGGGAAAAATTGTTTTTCCCAATATTTTACAAAAAAAAAGGTAAAACTTTACAATTTCTTTCCAAACCATTTTGGAGAGCTTAGAAAAACAATAAGTAAAAAATATATGTGTTTTTAAAGAAAAACCATGTTTATTATTTTTTTTATATGTTTTTGACGATTGCACATTTTTTAGGGTTTACTAATTAAAATTATTTACTAATAAAAAATGATTAATCTTGTTTTACAAGCCTGCAAACATCCATGTAGGATTTTAATAACATTCTTCAATATTTATCATGTCAAATTAACTGTAGATATTTGATGTCCTCAGATATATTATTTATCCAACTTAGAATCGATCAGACCCTGAATTTTAACAGCAGACATAATTTTTTACTAAAAGAGTATATTTTTTGATATTGAATGAATTTTAAAATATTTTGTTTAAACGATCTAAAACGTAGGAGTTTCAACCCCTCAGAATCCATAAGTACCAAAACACTGGAAAGGCTTATAGGAAACTGGCTATAGATTGTAAATGACATGCATTTCTACTTGTTTAACAATATTTATAAATGAAATCCACTACATAGTGAATGGCTTACAAGTGATTTTATAACTGTACAAAATTAGTTATCCCTTAGCTATTTCAATGTTATCAGATCATGAGCTGCAGTACTATGACAGCTGTACTAGTATCACTAGGAGTGTACCTCCTGCTACAGCAGCCCGGAGCCAGTGGGGCGGCGCCCCCGGACACAGACCCCAGCGGCGCGGCCAGGGCACCCTCACGACGAAGAGTGCTGTTGTCGCCACCCCTACGCGCTCGCCTGGAGCCTGTACTGGGCGACTTGCTGATAGACGACAACGATGACCTACTAGACCTTGGCAAACGGACGTTCGACGACTACGGCCATATGAGGTAGGGCCGGAAGGAAGGCATTATTTTGACTTTAAATCCTTATTCATACAAATTCTACGTTATCATGCACTGTATTTAAAAAAATACATACGCCTGAGGTATATACTTTTATTATTGGAACATTGCAAATAGAAGACCAGAAAACTGCTAGAATAGATTGTTTTTTTTTCGTAATCAAACGCCCTTAAATTTAAGAAATCAAATATAATGTCTGTAGTAGAACGGGCACACAGCTAGTTTTGAATATAAAGTCAACAAAATTAGTACCAAGCTATAAATATTTTGTAAAGTTAACTAAAGAAAAGAGGACAAAAGTATGCATTATTTACAGCGCCTTTAACGTCCTTTCCAAATTGTGTGTAATTTACTTACATCTACAGTAATAGATTTTCTAAAGGTTTGTTTTAGAATAGGTCCGTTAGTGATGATGGTAAAAATGTTACCTCGCCTCATTTTATAATACCATAATAAGTTACCATTAGTAGCCCTTTATATCAAGCTTTTTAAGGCAGAGGTCATATATTTCATTTAGCTATATAGATTGCCTGCATTCATTTTACAAGAGGCAAAAAAATAAAAGTCGAGTTATTAGATAGAAATTGTACTCTATTTGTGAAATTTCAGCAAAGTACGCAAGCTATTTGTTTTATGAATAAATTGTTACCATAAAGGGTAGTGCTGCTACAGGTTACGTCTTTTTGACAATAGGTTTTTGGAAGTATGATGAGTCAAATATGCTTAAGCTAATTAAGGAATTTTTGACATGATTTATTTTTACTGTTCACTCATTTACAATGCGTATTTGCTGTAAATAATAAAGTTTTAACGTGTTGCAGATTCGGCAAGCGAGGGGACCCTGAAGACAAATTTGATGACTACGGACACATGAGGTTTGGCCGAGGCCATGTCTAGTAGTTTAAGTTGTTTTTGTAAATAATAATAAATAAACTTGTAAAATATATTGTTTCAATATATATCCAGCAAAATTATGCCTGAAGAAAAATGAATAATCTTATTATAGTAAAGTAACTCTTGAGAGCAACAATGATTGTTAATTCGGTAATCGGATTGATTATCTATTATTATATTATTAAAGTGATACGATCAAATTTTTATTTGATTTTACACTATTTTTTTACACTAAACATTTATTCTCTCGTCACTCTCTCGTAAAATGCCACTGGCGTAGAAAAAAAATATTTTTTTTAAACGGTCAAGGCCATTTACCAAATAAAATTTTAGGCATATGGCACATCAAATTAAAGCTTTGAGTGTGTAGATTTGTTGAAAATTATTGATGTGAACAAATTTCTTACGCGTTCAGCCCCACAGGCCGATTTCCAAAGGGCTACGCCTGACATGCTTCCAAAGTTCAAATGATTTTTAATTTATTTAATGAAACAGCTGGTCAATGCAATAAACTGGTGTTTGTTTATTTACTTGAAAAACATGTTTGTGATAGTTTATGTAGATTGAGGAAATAATGTGCATTATTTTGTAAGAGCAGGGTTATGTTTGGTTGTTTTAAAGAAAGGTTGTACAGTATAAGTTTTGTAAAGTATTGCTCAAAGTTTCATTTTAGCGAATTTCCCATATAGGGAATAAGCTATTACCGTAGTACTCATGGTAAGACCTGGACGCGGGACCGATTTTTTTTTTCGTTTTGAGGTCCCTAGAGGCCAAAAACACCATCCGTTCAAATTCATATATATATATATATATTTATATATTTATATATATATATATGTGTGTGTCCGTCAGCACGATAACTCGAGCAAAAATGATCCGATTTTGATGAAATTTGGTACAAACGTGTAAACGTACGTTTATTCGAACGAGTTCGCGATCCAGCATGATCGGACCATGGGAACGGGGGTTTACGGGGGGTTTTATGGGGTAAAAATAGGTTTTTCCCATTTTTGACCCAAAAAACATAAAATTTAGCAATTTCTTTCCAAACCATTTTGTAGAGCTTAAAAAAACAAATAATTTAGTATATTTAAGCGTTATTATGCGCCTAATGGTTACGGAGAAAATTCCAAAAAATTGTAAATTTAAAATTCCCATGTTATTCTTATGGAGAATAAGTAAACTGTTGTAGTTTGCTTGTTTGTGAACATATTTTGATCAAATTTGGAAAATGTTTTTATTTCTTACTAACTATTCACATTTTACAAAAAAAAAAAACAGTTTTACCCTCCCTGATGCAGCAAACCTAAGTACTTGTTAAAATAATTCTATTTAAATCAAGAATAAATGTTATATTTTAAAAGTAGACATTCCAGTGTAAATCCTATCAGTCAAATGGAAATTCGCTTAGTCTGCAGGTTTGCTGCGGCGGGGGTATTATAATTTATATAGTAAGCTAAATGTAAAGAGGCTTGACTAAAATTGAAGAATGATGGTAAAACATATCATTCATGAAGCATCAATATGAAGCAATTGATGCTATTGCTACGGTACACTAAGGTATGTTGTCATATTCTTTTGGATTTATTAACATCAAAAGAAGGGGTTTGAAAGTAAGTAGGTTTACACTTTTTTGACTTTTAAATCCGATTTCCTTTTCAAATTAAATCATATACTTTAAAACACACATCAGCACTACATTACTTATACACTTCAATTACTGTACAGTCACATTTTCTTCCCGTTGCAAAGCACGGGTATAGCAGCTCGTATCAGAATTTACTGATGACTTCAATCTAGGTACAGTATATGTAGTGCGGCCTTGCTTCAAAGCCAATTTGGTGTTTCACGACGCCGTAGATATGATTCTGCAACATGTGCAGCACAAGTGTACAAAGATTGCTGTGCGCTCGGTAGGGCGTAATGTCCGTGTGGTCTTAAAGGGAACGGTAAATAATATTTACGTCTTAGACAGAATTTTAGTGAGAAATTATTCAAGTTAGTAATTATGAGAAGTTATAAGGAGGGTTAAGAGGCTTGGTTAAATGGTGATCATAAAATTAATTGAATTTTGGAATTTGTAAAGAAGCTACAACAAAATGTAAAAGATCCAGCTATTATAAAAAATTATCGAAATTAAAATTTTCGTCACCTATAATATTAAAACGTGACAGGGTTTTTTTATTTCACGATTCTGAATCAGCCACTTGACAAATTTTTATGATTATTGTGTTGAAAGAAAGATAATTTTGAGAACTAGGGAATGTCGAAGCCATAATTTTAGTTTAGGGTTTCAGTTTTTTAGAAAATAAGTTTAAAACTGTATGACAAATAATTGTTAAACATACCTTGTCAGACAATCCTTAACATGTCTGACGAGGTATGTTTAACCATTATTTGTAACTAGGTGAAACCCGTCGAAATCGACGGTTACTTTCAAGGCTTACGTTAATTCATCTAACTGCGATAAATTGGGTGAAATATACATATTTTGAGCATTTAGATTTGTTTAAAGAGTAAAAAGTGTAAAAACAATAATGATATTAATTGCGTTATAGTTGCCAAATTTGGTTGATCATTCAATGATTAAAATATTTCCCATACTGTACGTCATCGGAGTTATTATTAGTATGTTATATGGTATCTCTTCCTTTAGAAGAACCTTTAAATAGTATTAAAATCGTATTGGTAGACCTTTTGTAGTTAAAAACTTCCGTGATTTCATCAGTGTAATATGATTTTATTTGAAAAGAAAATATTTTTGGGAAGACATATTCTAACTTTAAAGGGAGGTATATCCGTTACAGTGTAAGTTTGATTTTTCCTTCGTCACGTCGTGTCAGTTCATATCGTGCTTCTGTGCCAATGAATGAACCCTCTAGCATAGTTTTGATAAATTGATTGTGGGGTTACTGTTAAAGCTGGAATTCCTTGACATGGGGGATGTCAGTTAGTTGTCTCAGTCTTATCAATAACATAAAGTTGTCAATATAATCTCTCTACGTAATGTTAGGTGTAGTGGAATATTTAAAGTGAAGTTGGCTTTTATTCTTGAACTGTTAGGGGCCTCCTAGTTCATATGGTCTTGGCAGCTTCATTGGCAACAAATAATGCAAATTACATAGCAATGGGACATTTCCAAAAAGCAAAAATACTGTAAATTGGCTGTTACGTATATATTGACGTTTACATATTGTTAATCAACGTATCTTATAAAGGATTATGTGATCTAGTTTAAAAGGAATATGACTTTTCTGTCATGACAGTAGCTGCTTAAATAGTATTTTTCTTTGTACCAAATTTTACAGCCAAAATGTTGTGTTATTTTCAATACCAACACAGTGCGCCAAAAGTCCGTAATATAGGTTCAAATAATTTGTCAAGATGGGTACCATTTTAGGCAAGGTTTCTATATTTAGTTTTTATTAGACACGATAAGAGGAGATATTTCTATATAAATATTTGATATGTTTGGAATAATATAATAAAATGTAGCCAAAAGTGGTAAAAAAGGCAGACACCGTACAATAGATATAAGATAGGCCTAGTTCAATAAGAAATAATTTAAGAATTGCTGTGATAAAAGGATTTTCCACTGATTTCGTTATGGAATGTTATATTGCAAAACATAACATGATAAAGAAGAAAATCAATTTTAAAATCAGAAAATGACTAGCAAATACTTATTTGATAGAATTCAGTAACTTCCAATAAATATGTGTTGTTTGAAATACAATTTAAAAATTAACAGCTGTTTCATTAAAAAGTATTATTCACTTGGCCTTAATGTAAACAACTTTGTGCAGGGATCTTTAAAGGCTTCTGGGGAAGAGTCCTAAGGGATTTTGCTTAATTTTTCTTTTGATTACTCATCTACAGACCAAGACCTTTCTTTGGACACCTCTACCAAGTTTCTACGCCCAGCCGTTCTCTCAAATTAGTGGGGACAAAGTTTCCAATTAAATATTTAGATTCCCCCATGTTAATCTTATGGGAGAAACTTCAACTTTGAAGGCCTGTGGGGCAAAGCCTGAGAATTTTTATTACAGGAATTGGTGAAAGGGGGCGTCTACACAAAAAATACTTTACTTTGACACGTTGTTTGTAAAAATCCGTCCATTATTAACGGAGGAGTAGTGTTTTGTAGAAATCGCCTTCACGTATTATATATAAGGATATTAACGCAATTCTGGGGCTATGCAAATGAATTTTAAAATTTTTAAAAGTTTAGCAGCCGACGCTAACATTCTAACTAGCTTTTGGTATAAAACCATTTGCTTGACGTAACAGCTGTAAACATTAGGTGTGTGTAACAAAATTCAGCATTTGGATAATAGCATAGGGTTGACTTATTTATACTATATGTAATGCTATACTCATTGATACGTTCATTTATTGGGCAAGAGGATGACAGACTATTTAAATATGCATGGTATAATGCTAGATGTTCTAATTTGTTTTTTACAGCAGTCTTTAAAATTTTAAAGTTTGTTTTAGAGCAATATAATTTGTTTTAACTAACAGCTGGTTGAATATAAAAATATTCTTTAGATCTATCAGATTATTTTATTATTCTCTGATTTTGCCATTGATTACAGGAAATAAGTAAGATTCTATAACCACTTATGTATACAAATCGAGGCTTTGCCCCCGAGTCTTCATACGAAAGCTTATGCAAATTATTTTTCTGTTCCACTTTTTGAAGAAAGAATAGGAAAATAACAACGTTTACATGTTTAAATTCATCTTGGCATTTTTTGTTTACAGTTAATGTTTAACCGCATGAACTTGGCTTGGATTAGAAATGGAAATATTGATATAACTTCAGTTTTAGTTCGCTACTCAATTCCCGTACGTAGGACGGGCCAACAGCTCGTATGTGTTAAATTATTTTATACTAGAGGTCGTCCAGTGGTCGAAACTCGACCAAAAATATACAGGGTGAGTTTCTACTGACCGTGTTAACTTTGCCAGTGGGTTCTACTCACTAAAAGGAACAAAAA